GGCTGGCTCATACTCGTAAACGAGTGCTGTTTGTAGGGACTGGTCTGCTCTTATCACTATGACTGATTTAATCTTATTGTATATTTATATTTAACCCTAATAAGTTAGTGCTGGTTGGTAGTTTGTATTCACACGTTTCGACTTGTAAATGTGAACTTACAAGGATTGTTTAAAACAACACACAAGTTTCTTACTCGTTCTTCTTGTGATGAGACACACCGAACGAACGAACGGTAGATAAAAAAAATGTTACTACTATTCAAAAGTGCTTAAATTAAGTTTATTTGAATAAATGATTTTCTATTCTATTCTATTCTATTTATAGTATCCAGGACCCCAAAAATATGGAACGATCCTCATAACCACATTAATTTCGACACCGGGTCCTTATATTAATTATAAACATTTTTCTTATATGTCTTTTTGTTGCATATTATTATTATTATAATAAATTACGCTGAACTTCAAGGTAATTCATATGGACAATTAATTAATTTACTTGTAGAGGTTCATCACTAATTTTTGAATATATAAATATTAATATGTATAATTAGTAAAAATCACGGGTATGCCAGTGATCATGGCGGTTAAAACACTGCCAAAATATCGGGAGCTCGATAAATATAAAACGTGGTAAAATATAAAACATATAAATATTACGTATTGTAAATCCCAATTTAGTGAACAATGTCAATTAGTGTTAGTAACAATATTTTAGATCTATTACCAAGTTTTACATAGTTATTTACTGAGGTAGATATTATGATATCTTATCACTACGACTGATTTAATCTTATTGTGTTTTTATATTTGAGCTTAAATAAATTAGTGCTGGTTGGTAGTTTGTATTCACACGTTTCGACTTGTAAAATGTGAACTTACAAGGATTGTTTAAAAGAGCAACACACAAGTTTCTTGCTTATTCTTCTTGTGATGAGACAGCTTTCCGAATAAGCGGTAGATTTAAAAAAATGTTGATTATTCAAAAGTGCTTAAATTAAGTTTATTTGAATAAACGATTTTCTATTCTATTCTATTCTATTCTAAAGGGTGGGATAACTCAGTCTTAACCCGATTTCAGTCGCCAAGCAGCCTGTTTTATAAGCTATGCTTCTGTCGAAGATAAATCTGTTAAATTACATTATATTAAGTTACATCTTCATTCTCCAAAAACGTTATGAACGTAAGTTACACTTCAATTTCAATTAACTTACCATCAGGCGGGCCACACATGTTTGCCATATTTTTTTTTATATATAGTTTAGGATACAAATGACCTTGCCTTACCTGATGGTAACTGATTACCGACGCCCATAAGCATATGCACCACCAGGGCAATTGCAGTAAATATTTGTTTTACATTCAAGAATATACAGTTTTAATTACATTCTCTTTTTAATGTGTTGCCTATTATGCCAGGCGAGACGGGATAATGGAAAGGAACTTAAATTTTGAATATACAATTAGTGATCGTTGAATAAAAATAACACACCTTTTTAATGATTTTTATTGATTAGTTTTTTTTTTTTGTTTTATTTATCCGTAATGGAAAGGCAAAGAGTCTAAGCCCATACAGCCGTTGTCTTTGGTATAATTTCTGTATTAATTGATTAGTGTTTAACGCAACAATTGGACATTCGCAGAAACGCCATTCATATTAATCTCTATATAATGCAAAATCATACTCTATTTTGACAATGACAATTATAGATCAATGTGTCAAACTTGACATTGACACGCGGGTGTAAATACATCACAGTTTTACAATAATAAGTCATAGTTATAATACTTAAGAGTAACATCGCGCATACAGAGCTATGACGCGCTCGTAAATCTAGTGCGGCTGCGCGCCGTGCAATATTGTGCATCTGTGGCACATTACGTTTGCGCGGGAAAATAAAACTACAAAATGGCGTCTTCTGCAGACATACTAATTAATTGTTGTGCTCTTCATTATTAATTATTTTATACTATTTATGTCTGCAGTTTACTTTTATTATAATTAAATATATACTCAACAAACCCAAATATAAATACAACCCCTAACATACCTAACAGAAACACGATTAATAAAACCTCAAAATTGTCGAAGTAAACAATTGTCCATAAAAATATGCATACAAATAAGCCAATCTCGTATATTAATGTCAACCTATACTATGAGTATTGGATGCTCTCTCGACCGCGTGTTATGTAACAAGGTGAAGGTTGCAGTATTGTTACAAAAGGTTATACGTTTTACGAAAACACCATCAGGGTTCCCAACTTTAGAATGATCTCCCTAAATTTAGGGATTTATTTTTTACCCCACTCAAAGGACGATACAGGGTGCCAACTTTGGTGTGTTCTTCCTAAATTTAGGGAGTTATTTTTACCCCACGCAAAGGTCGATAAAGGGTTCCCAACTTTTGTTGTGCTCTACTGTTCTTCCTAAATTTATTTTTTTTACTATACTCAGAGGGCTGTAATATTTTCATCACGTATAATAACAATAATAGTTTTTTTTTTCACAAAACATTGACACGAGTTAGTGTAACGGAGCCATTTAAACTTATAAAGTTAATATTAAAATACATATTCGTGGAGAAGTGGATCCTGTAGTAGGTATCCGAAAAACCTGTATCACGGGTAATCAGCTGTTGGGTCGACTTCTACGCGACACTTCAAGAAACGTGATAAATGAATCTTTCGCTAATAGATGTAAGAGTCAATCAGAATAGCCTTGCAGAATACCCTAGCCTATCGTGAATATTTTCGGGAAAATATTTTTTTACGCTGACAACCCTAATCTTTAGCTCTGACGTTAACTATTTATATTTCGTAGACTCTTTTGGTAACAATTCTTTGTAATCGATTTAATGGCCACATCCATTTTTGTTCTTACATCACAGCATCACACACCGTTTGATCTCTTGACATCTCGTTCAGATGCTGTTCAATTTGACAAGCTATTATATTAACTTTACTGTCAATTACAATTTGAAATGTTTGATATAAAATATGCAATATAGTCTTTAACTGCAAGCGAATATGACTCACATAACTAAGTATATAATGTACATATTAGCATGGAACAGATGTCTGTTACCTTGTTATATTTAATTGGAATGGTAAACAAACTGACCGCCTACCTAATGGTAAATAGTAACACAAACACCATAACAGACCCCGTCCGATCGACCCCCGTCCGATCGACCCCCGTCCAATTCAAAAGGGGATTGAAATTACGTCCTGAGTCGAGGTTCCAACCTCTAGTGGTGGCCTCAGACTAAAGTCATATCCATCAGGCAGGAATTAGCTTTCAACCGCTTAGTTCTTCTGCGGGTTTGGAGTGCAGGCACCCGCCCCCTATCTTTCAGTGAAACTGTAAAGAGTTAAACTTAATTTATTTAATATAATATAATTTGTTTACTAAAATATACACTTTGAATGCGTGGTCACTATACTGTACCACACATCGGGACATTCCTGAGCAGGTTTGGTGTTACATTGCTTACTTTATGGTGTTCGGAGTGTGGAAGACTTTCTTCCCGGCTGAAATCGTATTTCTCCATCTTTTTCCATTAATAATTTTCTTTTCAAAAACTCCACTCTCTATTTTTATGTATTCTTTATACGAATTCGTAATCCAACGATTAGAATAAGTAATTTTTTATTCTATTTTATTCTAATCTATTTGTAGTACTACGTGAATGCAATATATAATCATTAAATCGTTGGCGAGAAAGTATAACAAACAAATAAACTCATTTCTACATCTATATAAACAGAAATCTATTGCCGAAGCACCCACGTCTCTTCAAAATGGCTGCACCTATAGAAATATTGACTAAATAGACAAATCGAGGTGAACATTACACAAAGCAATGCAATAAGTTAAGATTGAATTTTTTATTGTAATTTTATTTATTACAATATGGTAATTGTAAGGTTCAAATTTGTTCGTTATTTAATAATAATAATCTCAGGACAATTCACAAAGTCCTCAAGACCCAAGAAGAAGTTAAGCTAACTAAAACTTGTATTGTGGGTAGTAAATAACTGATACAAATACATAGATATTTTTTTCGTAAATACATACACATTGCATATAGAAAACACCCAGACCGATACAAATAATCATAATCATATATACAAATGTGGTTTATGAATTTATGAATAAAAATCTAAACGTAATAATATTAAAAAGTAATGAAAGATAGTGATAAACAAAAACTAAACGCATTTAGATTCATATGCAATTAAAAAGTAATATTTACGTATAAAAATCAAAACGTACAATATTAAAAAGCAATGAGAATGAATTGCGTTTTGTTATTGCATTGACCGTTTATATTGATGATCAAAATTAATGTCGTGCTTCAAATAGCCAGTAGCGATATAATTTAGAATGCCAAGGATTGTAACTTTGAAATTATCATAAGATGACCCGTTCAAGTGGACCATCTAAGTCAGATTAGAAGGTCACACCAGTTTTTAAATTACCATACATTTTAATATTATAATCATGTCTTCAATTCAATTTATAACAGGGAATACCATTTCGACTAATTTTATTCACAAGATGAATATTATATTATCATTAATATTATAAACAAAATGTCAATCTAAAATAACATTTTGACATTGGATTTAATAATGGCTATTATTTTGATAATAACAACGTTCATATTTGAATGTAGCCGTATTAGAATTTATTGAATATTGTAATTTATAAAGTATTAAAGGTAAATAATAATGAAAAGATTTATTTTAAAATAACTTATTTAATAGTTCAAGATTCATTTATATAAATCTTAAATATAATTGTTGTACTTGTTAGGTATTGTCAGGGTTATATTACAAAATGTATCGACGAGTTCTGAATTCAAATTTTCAAATCATTAATTCTAAATTATTTTTAAATTTCGAATTCAGAAATCGTTGCTGAGTCGTAAATAAAAAGATTTCGAATTCAGAAATCGTTGCTGAGTCGTAAATAAAAAGATTTAAAGTAAAAATTACTTAAACATAAATGTTTATTAACAATCAAACTGGGATCGTATCACAGATCGCTTGGAGGAAACAACAGGGAGAGGGAAAGGGGCGAGGTTATGGATATGAGTATTTTTGGACTAGATATTTGCTTCTTCTAATTTGATTTAAGCGGCTTGGGGTAAGTGGGCGCCTTGGGGCTGGAAGCCGTTCTCGTCGGCGACGTAGGTCACGGTGTATTGCTGGCCATCAGGTCCGGTGTAGGAGAACTGACCACGGACGGCGATGGCTGCGTTTTCGGAGCCAGCGTTCACGAGCTGACCTTCTTCTTGTTGGGAGATGCCGTTGGAGGTCTCAAATCTGATGGAGAAATATATGATAAAGAAGACAATTACAATATATTGAACTGTTACTTTAATAATAAAGCAAACAAATTAATATTATTTATAAACGCGAAAGTTTATGAATGTAGATTGATAGTTGTTTGTTACTCTTTCACGTAAAAATTACTGAATGGATTTTAATGAAACTTTACAATAATATAACTTATACATCAGAATAACACATGAGCTATAAATTTTACGAAAGTGAAATAATTGTTTATAAAGAAAATTATTTTTTTTTACATTGTAATTATTACTAAATTTTAAAACTATTGCATTTAAAATTACGAAGATAAGTAAATACGTTAATAGAACAGTTTGGCAATGAAATTATGTACAAGAAGTTCATTATACCCATATGAGTATCCATCAACACCGATATTGTTGCTGTCATATCGCAGGATCTGGGCAGTGGAGTCGGGTCCACCAGCTGCTGGGGCTGCTACGGCCGCGGCCACGAGCACAGCGAGAACAATGAACTGTTGGCAAAGATATAACATTAACCACTGTTGACTGACGACAATCCAAATGTCCACTTCAATCCTGAACGTACCGATTTCATTTTTGAATGGTTTTTTGGGTCCTGGGACTGTTGGAAGGTAATCGAGCGAATGATGCCATGTGAAGCGTACGGCGAGCATTTATAGTTAGCGAGCATCGGTGCAAGGCAAGGACGCGCGGTGACATTTGAACTTAGACGGCTTTAGACGGGTCCTCTGCCGGCGGTGTTCTTCTCCGGGTACCTGTAAAAGTTCTTTGTGACATGTCCGGTTACGTAGTTTATGAGTTTCGGTTAACATTTAAATGACTATCGTCTGATATTAATCTTATTGTGATTAAGTAATCTCGGCTTTTGTCGTGTGAGTAATTTTGCTATTGTATATAAAAGAAACTAATAATTATTGGATTTAACACAAGTTTATAATTTGGACAATATATAATATATAAAAAATATAATTCAACTCAGATCGAAGTCTATAAATATATATATGTTATGATATAGTCGTAGGTATATTTCTATATTATATATATATATATATACAGGTATATTTCTATATTATATATCTATATCAAATCTCAGATAATAAGAACGTTAGTGTACTCGGGAATTCTCGAGAGATTTCGTTTTTTTCCCGGGAAAATAAATGGAAAAGTCGAGAACTTCACCTATATAGAAATTAAATTGTCGATAATTACATATTGCTAACAAGTGTTATATTGGTGCTGTCAATAAATATAAGGATCAGATAAAATATAACAATTTAATTTAATCAATAAAAATTTTATAGTGAAATTTTATATTTAGTATTTAACAAAAAATGCTTTTTCGTCTCAATGCTTCAGAATCAAATCTCAGATAATAAGAACGTTAGTGTAGTAACATTATGGATGTATATTATTTTGTTGAAATCGAAAATAAATCAATTAAAAAATAAAATGATCTTCCGCTTTTTTTTTACTTTCATATGTATATGTTAATAAGAAAAATAAATTGTTATTTTGTCTATTATTATATAATAAAAGTATGTAGGGCCTAGCATAATGTGGTCAACTGATTTCCTGTGACTATCCCATCTGCGATTACAGTCGTGAGATGTAATAAAATAAATAAATAACCCTGGACAAATAACAGCGCGATATCTAGTAAGCAGAGCTAGTATTATGTGTAGTAGACAGCTTATATAAATACTCAGATATCTCTTTCATCTAACTACACATATAGAAAACACCCAGACTGATACATACTATCATACTCATGAATACAAATATTTGCACCGTGCGAGGAATCGGACCCGCGACCATCGGAAGTAGCGATGTGCTAAACCGCTAGACCATCGAGGCCGTTGTCATACATGTCACAATGTTATTCAGGAAAATTTCGAGAGCTTGGGAAAGAGTGGTAATTCTCGTGATAAACCCAGCCGCTGTATTACCTCGCGCATTAACAATGCGTCAGAACTCGGGTCACCAAATGAGTCAACCAGCCGCTCCTATACTTTTAACTATGCTAATTCAAAACTCAAAAATCATTATGTAGGACATTTTATTTATTTTTATTTTTATTTATATAACTTCAATGCACAAAATACCAAGGTAAAAGTACATATGGCAGACTTAACGCCTTACGTTTTGATAGAAAAACTTTAAATCCATAATCACTGACAAAATTATCTGATTACATTAATATATATTTACGTAAACGACTTACATGTTGATTATACAAATACATACAATATATATAAAGTAATTATTTATATAAAAAAAATACATATCTATTAAAATACAATCATACAGTACATATATTTTAGCTTGAACTCATTCTTTTTGTATTATATTATGCATTCTTGATTTAATTGATTGATTTTAGAATCAAAATATGACTATTCAAAAGTGCTTGTAATGAGTTTATTTGAATAAAGATTATTTCTATTTCTATTTCTACGGCATTTTCTACCAGTGTCAACCACAGGTTGTGCAGAGAAAATATGGTCGAGCGCAAATGTAATCAATAAGAACAATAATACCTATGTCATAAATAATATATATTTACTAAATTAATTGTTTAACATGTAAATATACATATACAAATACATTTAATATATATAAATACTATAGATAAATATGAATAAAATACATACACTAAATGTACCATATACATATCATATAGTACCATACATTTTCTTCTTGTGATGCCAACCGGTAGATTAAAAAATGTAAAATTTTTTATTTGATATTATATATTTTCTCTACCGTCCAGTTCAGTATATAGATTAAATTGAGAAGTACTAGCAAAAAATTCAATAGATTTTTTTTAAACCCAGTATATTTACAATGTATATTTATATAGATGTCTATATAATATTGGTAAACATCAGTAATTGCCATAGAAGAATAAGTATAATGAAGTATTCATTTTTTTATTATTTATATTATTAACCGGGTCTTAACACGGCTAGTGCAACCTAGTCGAAACGTCGAGAAATGAACAACTTTATTTGCCATAAAATTAGTTCGTGTTAAGACTCGGTTAATAATATAAATAATGTATATTAAACACGAAAGTTTAAAAATAAAATGAAGTACTATTACATTATTTTGTTATATTCAGTAATATGCAAAACAATACGATTAATCTTCCTAAAATAATATAAAATATTAAAAACTTAAACATCGTCACACATACAAATTGACATTTTATTATCTAGAATTCCGATCTTTACGTATCTTATTGATTATTAATAGTTTTTAAATTTATAAATTAGATCTAAAATTTGCTCAAAATATTTATTTTTAAGAACAATATAACCTATTAAAAGCAAATAAATAATATATGTATACTAGCTGTACCCGGGACTCCATCCGCGTGGAATATAACTTTATTTTTCTAAAATAAAAGTAGCCTAATTTACTCCTTATTACATCAGCTACCTGCCAATAAAAGTCCCGTTAAAGTCGGTCCAGCCGTTTCAGATATTAGCCGGAACAAACAGACAAAAATTGTAAAAAATGTTATTTTGGTTTAGGTACCGTGTTTATATTCATATGCATGTAGTAAAAAACGGTTATTTCAATATTACAAACAGACGCTCCAATTTTATTTATATTTTTATTTATAGATTATAGATATAAACCTTCCTCTTGAAGCACTATATATATCTATTGTGGGAAACTGCATTTTTTTTAATAATATTATCTCAGGACTATTCATACAGCGCCATCTAGTCTCAAACTAAGTAGAGCTTGTGTTATGGGTACTTGACAACTGATATAAATACATGGATACATTTTTTTGTAAGTAAATACATATTGTACATAGAAAACACCCAGACCGATATAAACAATCATATCATACTCATGATTACAAAATGTTTGTACCGTACTAGAAATCGAACCTACGACCATCGGATAATAAAGTGGTATGCTAACCACTAGACCGCCGAGGTTGTCATACATATATATAATATATATTCTCGTATCTAAAGAATATTACCTACAGATGGTTGCTAGGGCAAAATTGATAGTAAAATATTTCCTTCTAAACTCAAGCTCAGTTTTAGAGACCGGAAAACAATGTCAAATGTAAAAAGTAATAAAACTATACAAGGTGAGCTATATTTCAAACGGGTCATTATACAGGGTGTATATAATTAATACCTTGGTTTAATTATTCAATAATACCTCTAATTACATGATATTAATCTTAAAACTTCATAATACTGAGTTTACACGAAGGAAATTTTGCATTTTTAATGAGACCCACTCAAGATTTAAATTAATACGTTCTATTAAAAGAAGCAAAGATCAAAGGGAATTTAATTTAGGAATGAATTTGAACAAAACTCATTCAGTGAGAAATATTTAAAATGGGGGTAGATAAAAATAAATAATTACATATACGACTATAACCACCTATTGTTGCTTTATTATGTACTAGCTGTACCCGCGACTACGGCCGCGTGGAATTTAACATTAGTTTTCTAAAATAAAAGTAATCCAAGTTACTCCTTATTACATCAGATGATAATCTGGGTTAATTTAGGGTTGCCAACTTTTTAAGGAAAAAGTAGTTGTTTTTTATTATTATATTGTACTAGCTGTACCCGCGACTTTGTCCGCATGGATTTTAACTTTAATTTTCTAAAATAAAAGTAATCCAAGTTACTCCTTATTACATCAGATGATAATCTGGGTTCATTTAGGGTTGCCAACTTTTTAAGGAAAAAGGTATGTATTGTTTTTTATTATTATATTGTACTAGCTGTACCCGCGACTTTGTCCGCATGGATTTTAACTTTAATTTTCTAAAATAAAAGTAGCCCAAGTTACTCGTTATTACGTCAGTTACCTGTCAATAAAAGTCGCGTCAAAATCGGTCCAGCCATTTCAGAGATTAGCCGGAACAAACAGACAGACAGACAAAAATTGTAAAAAATGTAATTTTTGTGTATGGTACATACACAAAAATAAGTAGTATTTATATTCATATGCACGTAGTAGAAAACGGTTATTTCAATATTACAGACACTCCTATTTTATTTATATGTATAGATGTACTTATACATGAATTGAGATTTTTTATTATCTTATTTCTAAACAATAATTGACCAATATATGTAAGATACATTCTTTTATACTAACTACTCGCCCTGGCTTCGCCCGGGTGTGCACATATTGTACATATAAACCTTCCTCTTGAATCACTATCTATTTAAAGAAACCGCTTCAAAATCCGTTGCATAGCTTTAAAGATTTAAGCATATATAGGGACGGACAGACAGCGACAGCGACTTTGTTTTATACTATGCAATGATACATATTATAATACACAGAAAACACCCAGACAGATCCAAACAATCATACTCATGAATACAAATCTTTGCACCATACGAGGATCCGAACCCGCGACTATCGAAATTAAAGCAGTGTACTAAACCACCACACCACAAGGTAATCGAGTATTTTGTATGTTGTTCCCAAGTGACAGAACATAAATTTTAAGCTGTATTCTACATTGATTCACGTCTTGAGAAGCCTAAAACAGATGGGTGATCACCTTTGACTCTTCAGGAATTTCATTGTTCATTGCACGGGGTACGATGTAACTGTAACTGTGTTGGTATCACGACCATCTATATATATATATATATAAAATATAGT